AATCAGTGCCTGGTGCGAGGTAGGTGCTCAATAAATGAATGAACATGGAATTGAGCAGATTGGAGCTAGCTAGCTTTATGGGGTCAGCAACGTCTGAGGCTTGGGGGATCCTGAAGGGTTTCTCTTCCCTCCACCTTCCCTGGGGTCAAAGCGAGGAGGTCCTGGTAAGGGGGGCACCCATCTGATAAGCAGGCCAGGCATAAGGTGCGGCGTGTGGCCCCGGCGCTCTGGTTCGGCCACTTGCTCACTGTGTGGCTTAGGCAACTGACATGCCCCCTCGCCCCCCAGAACCTCGTCTTCTCCTCTATAGTGAGAGTCACGGCCAGGCCTGGAACGGCAGGGTGGCAATGCAGTGAGCACAGGGTGTGGAAGTTACTGCTGTCAGGACTCGCACTTCCTGGCTGCAGGTACATGTACAAGTATATCTGCAATCTGAGCACGTCCTCAGCCTCCATCCAGGTCCAGCCACCATCCTCTTGCACCTGACACTGCAGTCACCTCCTTGCTGGGCTCTCTGCTCCCACCCCATGTCAGGTGCTGTCCCAACTCTGCTCTGAACCCTTCTGGGAGTGGGGAGCTCATCTCACCTGCCTCTCTCACCTCATCTCCAGCTACTCTCCCGGCTGTTCCTTGTGCACACCAGGCATGTGTGTGCCTCAGGGCCTTTGCACTTGCTGTTCCCTTTGCCTAGGATAGTCTTCCTCCAGGGATCCCTATGGCTCCTCCCTCCCTTCAGGTCTTTGCTCTATTGCATTTTCTCAGGGAAGCCCACCCAAATTGCCTTATTTCATACTAGAACCTGTCCCCTACCCTCATCCTCCTATTCTTTTTATTTTCCCCATCACTTATTTAACATCTCATTTAGTGCTGTCCTGTGTTTACTGCTATTGCCTGTCCTCCCCTGCTAGATGTCAGCTCCAGGAGAGCAGGGACCTTCAGCAGTTCCTGGCACATGGTAGGCACTCAGCAAGGAACTGCTGAATGAATACAAGAATGAAGAGCAGCCAATCAACAGTCTGCAGCTGACGCCCGCAGCCAGCCCGGGGGAAAGGTGACTTCTCAGGCCACCCCATGCCTCCTGCCCTGGGGACAGTCATCACACCTGGAGAGCCGGGATGCGGACGCAGTTCACCAGGTAAGGCTTGTTTGTCTCCAGCAGGGAAACAAAGGTGAGGAGCTGGTGCCTGGTGCGCATCTTGTCCTTGTCATCTGAAAGGGTCAAGAGGACAGCTCAGACCCAGCCCACCCACTCATCTCCCACTCATACCCCCCACACCCATCAGTGCCCCGGGGGCTGCCTGTCCCACCTGGGCCATTTACCCATCCGTATATGCTGACGCATGCAACAATAAAAGGTCTGTAACTTAGTTTTAAATACTTTGTCATAATGAATATGACTCTGGCTACTTGGTGATATTAAGAAATATCGTTGGGCCGGCTGAGTGGCTCAGTTGGTTAAGAGTTAGCTTAAGAGCGCGAGCTCTGAACAGGGCCGCCGGTTCAATTGCCACATGGGCCAGTGACACTGTGCCCGAGTTGAGCTGCCACTGAGCTGCCAACAGGTGGCAGGATGGCTCAGCTGGTGAGAGCATGTGCTCCTAAAAACAAGACTGCCTGTTCCATGGTGGGCTACGCCCGTTAGCAACTAAGACTGAACTCGGCATCTTGAGCTGAGCTGCTGCCCAGATGGTTTAGTGGACAGAGCGCACGCTCTTAACAACAAGGCTGCTGGTTCAACTCCCGCATGAGATAGTGGCTATGCCCACCTGCAACTAAGATTGTAACACAGCACCTTGGCTTCGAGGCCACAAGTTGCCAATGGGCAGCCAGATGGTGACTGGCGCCCTCCACAACTAAGATTGAAGAACAACTTGGCTGGTCCCGCTCCCCAATTCCCCAACATTGTTCCCCTCCCCCAATAAAAAGAAACATTGTTAATCTTTTAGGAGTGGTAACAACATTGTAGGAATGCTACAAACAGTGGCTATTATTATTTCTAAATGACATGATACCTGGGATCTGCTTTAAAAAGTTCCAGCAAAAAGGAAAACACCGTAAGGGGGCAGAAGAAACAAGGATGGCCAAATGCTGACGGCCACAGAAGCTAGGTGAGGGTTGTCACACACTCTACATGGATGTTGCACAGAAATTTTCAAAATTAAAAAATAAAGGAAAAAACAATATAATACAAAGAGGGTAAACTGACTAGGAATTTACAGCAGTTAAAGATCAAAAGTTTCATATTCTATCTTTGAGGTTTAAAATTATAAACCTTATCTTTTTGAGCTTGTATTTACCATTTTAACATACTGTGTTTCCCCAAAAATAAGACCTAGCCAGAGAAGCCCTAGCATATTCCTCCAGGATATGGAGGGCATGCACCCCTCACATGAGGGTTTTATGACCTGTTTCAGGGAGAAGGGTGCCTTTTCCACAAACTCCTTCAGCTTAAAATATTCAGTATGCCAAGGGGCCATATTTTGGCACCTAAAATCATGTGAGGGCTTATTTTCCAGCTAGGTCTTATTTTCAGGGAAACAGGGTAGTACACGCCTTTCTTTACAAACAAGGAGAAAGATGAGCTGTGTTCGGAGCTCAGACACAGCACACGACTAGCCATCAGGCTGCAGGGGCAAAGGCCCCCCTGGGAACACACAGGCCTGCACCTTTGGAGGGGCACCCCTGGCTGGCAACCTGCCTGGCCTGTATGCAGCTGCTCAGCTGAGGTGGCTTTTATGGCCTGGATTCGACTAGAAGGGAGGCCAGGCGATCCATTGCCTGAATGCTGCCTTCCATACCCACATGAGCTGGGAGAGGGCCCTGGGCAGGACAGAGTCAGGGAGATCGCAGAGGTCACGGGACAGGTCTCCTGACAGCCTAAGAACTCAGTCCTGGGGTATGGCCAGTGCTCGGTCAGGTCTGCCCACGCCAACTGGGAGGGTGAGGCTCAGCATGGAGGTGAACTCGCCAAGGCCACCCAGCCAGGGCTGGCTCCCCTCCCAGGGCTGGCTCCCCTCCTGCAGGTCCCACCCCAGCAGTCCCAGCAAATGCAGAGTACTTGGGGAGGAATGAAGGGGTAACTTCAGACAGTGAGGGGGTTCTCTCCCCACTCGGGCTCACCGTACCTTGGCTCCCTTCGCCGCCCCTGGCCTCCTGCTCCTGTGTGTGCAGCACCTCGGGGCTGCTAGCGAAGACGCAGGTGGGGTGCAGCACGGTGCCCTGCTTGGCCTGGGTGTGGAAAATCTGGAGAGGCCAAAGACAGGCGCCAAGTGACAGAGGCCCTCAGACCTGCTCTTTCCACTGCCCGGAACGCTTTTCCTCCACCCTCGGGGCCAGGTTCCCTCCTCCATGTCTCAGCTCAGGAGTCCCCTCCACCAGGAAGCCCTGCCTGACCCCGGCCCAGGCTGGTCAGGTGCCTGTGTTCCCCCAGCCCCAACCACGCTGGGTCATCTGTCTGGGAACAGATTTGTCTCCTCACTGGACAATGAACCCCACAAGGATATGGCGAAGGCTGTTTGGGTCACAGTCACGTCCCTAGCACAGGGCAGGCACTGGGAAGCTGTGTTGAATGACAACACACACACAGGGACTGGGAGCGGGAAGGAGGCCCACCTGGTCCGAATCCTTGCGGCCGCTGTTGAACGGGTCGGGGATGGCGAGCTGCGGGTAGAGGCCCCGGCCCAGCACGAGCTTGAGCAGGGCCATCTGGTCCCGGGTCAGGGCCTGCGCCGAGCTGGCGGCCGCCTGCAGCTGCTCCAGGTTGTGCCGCAGCTTAAACTTCACATCCTGGTGGGAACAGGAGAAGGTGGAGTCCCAAGGGGCTTGTATTAGGATATGTGGACCCAAGGGGTTCTGTGGGCTGCTGGGGCCAGGTCCTGTCCACAGAATCTTATCTTTTGAAGTGGGGGCAGGGCCGTGTCCCCTCAGGCCTTCAAGATAAAGCCATATCCCCTCAGACCCCAGGGCAGAGCCGTGTCCCCTCAGGCCCCCAGGGGAGACCATGTCCCACTCTGGTAAACTCCAGCCTCGCCCACCCCAGGCACCGGACAGCCGCACGGCGCCCCACCTGGATGTCCACATTGTCTCTAGTCCCCCGGGAGGCTGTGCTACCCCGGTCCTCATCGCTGGAGCAGCCGTCCTGGTCCTCCTGCAGACAGAGCACCTTGCGCCTGCGCCCCCCGCCCTCCTCGTGCTGGCGCTTCAGCTGGTATAGGGCCCGGCGCTCCCGGCGCTGCTGCAGCCGACTGTAGCTGTCCCCCGGCTTCAGAGCCTGGACCCCGGCCAGCAGCCCATGGTCCTCCAACAGCTCCTGGGGAGGGGTGGGGCCTGAGTGAGGGACACAGGGCCTCAGGCTCAGGGGACTCTGGACCCAGACACATCTTCAAGGCTGGGGCCTGCCCCTTGTTGGCAAGTGACCTCACCCTTCTGAGCCACAATTTTCCTCAAATGGAAAATGGCGACCCTCCCAGTACCTCCCCACTGGGGCTGGTGGGGGCTGGAATGGACCGGATAAGAACAACCCTTTGCACGGTGTGGGCACAGATGACTGTTCATGAAAGAGCCGTTGTTGTTGGCCAATGAGTGCCTAGGCTGGGGACAGGAGGGAGACAGGGCGAGAGGAGGGGAGGCCAAGTGACTGTCACCCAGGGTCCTCCCTGAGGGCTCCTGTCGCAGCTCCGACCTGCCCCTCAGGCCTGCCCCAGCCCCCGTGGGCTCCTACACTAGTGGTTCTCAGTGTGGTCCTCCAACCAGCAGCAGCATCTGGGACGTGGGAACTTGTCAAAATACCAAGTCTTGGGCCCCATTCCAGAAAACCGATCAGAATCTCAGGGGTGGGGCAAGAAACCTGGATTTAGCAGCCCCTGGGGGGACTCTGATGCACTTTAGAGACCCCCTTCCCTCCACCCTGCCCACACCTTTGAAGATAGCCTTTGAGTGACCCTATTGGATTGGACCTTTCTCAAAGAGCCCAGACCAACGGAGAATGTAGGATACTGTGAGAGAGAGAGGAGAGAGAGAGAGAGAGAGAGAGAGAGAGAGAGAGAGCGCCCACACCTTTCATTAGTTTCTTAGTGTCTGGGGCCCACCAAAGATTGAACCACTGCTCTAGAAAGCCAGAGACATTGAGAGATGCCGAGAACGGTCAGAATATCATTGGTCCCCAACACAAGGACCCCTAAAATTGCATGGGAGGCCTTGGTTGAGGGACCACCCACTCTGGGCCTCAATCTGCCCATCTGCTATCAAAGGTAATGGATTACCCCAGGGATGCTTTCATTTTATTTATATTCCATGGCACACACACGACCACTGAGAAGTATGGAGCTGCAGATGTGTGATCAAATGGAAAGCCGTCCACGGTGCAGACCCACATAATAATAACAATAAAAGTGCCAACACTCATAGGGGACCACCTGCGGGCTCTACGTGTACTAACTCATTCAGTCCTCACAGGATCACTGTGAGGCAGGTGCTGTTGACGTCCCCAGTTTTAGAGGGAGAGCTGAGGCCCAGAGGTGCAGTAACTAGCCCAGCATCGCTGCAAATGACAGAACTGGGAATCACTGCTGGGATGTCCTGCTCCAGATTTGGTGTCCCTAACCATCTCCCTACGCTGCCTCCTAGCACTCAGCCTGCACAGCTAGCACACCTGCTCCAGAGGACGAGGTGCTTCAGGAGGATGTGACCACTGAACCTACAGACCCCCTCCCCCAGGGAGTCCTCTGGGGTTTCTACCCCTTTGCCCTGTCCAGGGCACCCCCACACCTAGTCATCTGATGGTAGGGGAGTTGGGTGTAGGGTGGGATTCTGATCACTGTCACAGAAGGAAAGAGGACAGGAGTGTGCTCCAAGGCACTCTCTCTGCCTCCCCACATTCTGGCCTCCCACGTGTGCTCCTGGCACGTTCTGTCTGGGTGGGGCTGCCCCTCAGCTCTGGTCCTGAGCCTCACCTTGAACTGGCGCCGCAGGTTGGCCATCTCATATAGCCGATGCTCCTCTATACCCCGGCGGCGGCACCACTTGCGTGAGTTTCTGCTCCGTTCAGATTTCACCTGGGTGGAGGTACAGATGCCAGGTATCAAGATCTCACCAGCTGGAGGAGGGGATGGGGGCTAACCCACCATCCAGACTATCCCAGCATGGGCCCGAACATCAGCCACTGGGAGGATGCGAGGCAGGTGGGCGACTTGTCAGCCCTCCGTCACCTGCTTTCTTCCTTCTTTCAGGTCTCAGCCCTCCCAGCCCCTCCAAGAGGACGCCCTCCCAGACCACACTCAGTCAGATACCCCTCTAGGCTCTCTCTCAGCCCCTTGGACTCCTCATCACAGCCCATTCTGGGTGGTTACTGTCTAGGGACGGGTCTGTCTCCTGCACTGGCCTGTGAGCCCCAGGAGCACAGGGCCAGATGGTTTTGATCACCACTGGGTCCCCAGCACAGGGCCAGGCCCAGATTAGGGGCTCAGGGAACATGTGTTGGATATACAGATGCTACCCTAGGAGTCTGGACTTTCTCCAGATGGCACTGGTTTTAATCAGGGCTTTAGAAACCCCAGGCTCCTCCTCGGGGCTGGGTGTCTCCACGTTGGTCCCATGAATTGTGGAGACGAGGTCTTCCGGCCAGACAGGAGTGGGGGGTGACCCTTCCGCCTGCCTCACCTGCACCCAGTTATTGAAGACATTGAAGAGCGTGAAGGGGTCACCCTGGTCACTCTCCAGGGGCCGTCGTGCTGCTGCACATTCCAGGTTGCTCTGGGCGCTGCGGGTGAAGGGTGACTGGACACTGAGGGCGGCGGCGATGGTGAGCACGGGCTCCGCCAGGCGGAACATGGAGCCCAGGATGAGCATCTTCCCTGCGGGCGGGCACCAAGCTGAGCTCGCCTGCCCTCCTCCTTCATTTCACCCACAGAGGGCCTCGGGAGCCATGGGGACAGGATCAAACCCACACTCGGTGCTTTCCAGTCGTGTGACCTTGGACAAGGCCTGTTTCCCCATCCGTAGGTTGGAGACAACAACAATCCCTGCTGCCCCGGGCATGTGGTGGGCACAGTTAACTGCTGGCTGCTACTGTCAGCAATGCCACCACCTGCCCCGCTCTTGTCTTAACAACCAGCTCCCCCAGGGCCCCCTCCCCGCCTTCCTGGCTTTATTCTTCTTCCTGGCACTCATTTTGACCTGCCAAGGTTGTGTCTCTCTCCTCCCTCTAGAACAGCGGTTCTCAACCTGTGGGTTGCGACCCCTTTGGGGGTCGAATGACCCTTTCACAGGGGTGGCCTAAGACCATCGGAAAACAAAAAGATATTTACATTACGATTCATAACAGTAGCAAAATTACAGTTATAGAGTAGCAACGAAAATAATTTTATGGTTGGGGGTCACCACAACATGAGGAACTGTATTAAGGGGTCGTGGCATTAGGAAGGTTGAGAAACGCTGCTCTAGAATGTGACCTGTACTTGGTCTGCCTGGCACACAGCAGGCGCTGACTTTTGTGCCTATCTCAGGATGACTCTTTCTGCCATCTCTGTTTAATTCAAGATGGAGGTGGAAGAAGATGGAGAGGAGGGGACGAGGGGAAGCGGGGGCAGGGGCAGGGGAAAGAAGGGAAGACAGGAAGGACAGAGAGAGAAGGAGCAGTAGGATCACGTGGTGAGACACCACTTCCCGATGTTCAGGCCCTTCCTGCCTGCCCCACGGTCAGTGGCTTCCCTTTACATAACTGACTCATCTCCAGCGGTCCCCACAACTGCCTTTCCGGAAAGTTCCTGTTACACATCTAGCCTCGTAAGATGAAGGCAGGAGGCAGTAAAACAAGTCTGTCTCAGGACCCCTGAGCTCCATCACCTCAGGCAAGTCCCTCCACCTCTCTGTGCCTGTTTCCCGGTCTGTGAAGGGAGTCCGCCCTCTGTGCCTCTGTCTCCCCATCTATGGAGTCAGTAAGGGCAGCGTCCACCTGCTGTGAGGATGAACTGTTTCACACTGGGAAGTGCTCAGAGTGCCCAACGGGTGGCTGAGTCATCTGGGCCCAGACCGCCCACCACTGAGTCATCTGTGTCTCCTGCTCTGCAGGGCCCAGAGGAGTCAGCGTGCCCGGGAAGCGCCTCCCAGCTCTGCCTGCCAGATGACCCTGGGAGAGTGAGTGACAGCCCTTCTCTGAGCCTCACTTTCCTCATTTGGAAAGTGAGTGTCACTCTTCCTATCCTACAAGAGATGATGTGCCTAACAGGCTTAGTAGCCCGCCTGACCAAATCCAGGCTCTGTAACTCGCTTGTTCCATGCCCTTGGGCATAACTCTCCACCCTCACCCCGTAGTTGAGCCTCAGTTTCCTCATCTGTACAACAGGGGTGTCTGGAGGCCCTGCCTTCACTATGTGAGAATGAAATGATAGACGGTCCATAAAGCCTTTCACTGGCATACAGGAAATGCCCATGGAAGGTTCTTTTTCTTCTCAAATATGGTTTTCCTTGCTCTAGCCCTGTTTCCTTCAAAAACAAATAGAAATAACCACTTCCCAGCCATGGGAGGTCCTCAGGGGTGGTGGGATCCCCCTCCTGTCCACACTGAAGCTCCAGTTTCCTGCAATGATGGGGACTTTAATGATATTAACACATGCAGAAGGTTCTATTGAGCATCATGCTTAGGAAACGGTGCCAAGAGTGGTCGTGCTGAGCTGGGACTATTCTGTGGGTGGTGGATTTTTGATAGAGAACATCTTGAGTCAGGAGAATTAGGCAAGGCGAACACGCCTAGGTCAGCGTGCTCCTCAGAAGAAGCCGGAATGACTCAGGATGAGTAAGAGAAAGAGGTTTTGAAATCCCTATCAATGATGCAAAAGAGGGGTGCCAGGGTGAAGCTGGGGAAAGGCGGGGCAGAGTAGTGCCTGTTTGTTTACTGCTGTATCCCTGGCACCTAGAATAGTGCCTGGCACAGGGGGCCTGTGAATGAATGAACAGGGCCTAGAGAAGGATCAGGCTTGCCCATGAGTCACTTGGAGAGCAAGCAGTGCCTTGCACCCACCCACTGTCCTGTCTGATCACTTCAAGGTGGGTACCTCACCAATCACGACGTCCACAGGAAGCTGGGCTAGCAGGGACCCAATAGGGGTGAGGGCCTCTGAGCTGTCCAGGGCCCCCTGGTCCTGGAGGTAGAGGATGGCCGTTTCTAGGCTGGCGGGTGGTGGGGGCTCAATGAAGGGGAAGGTTCGGGGGTCTCCCACGCTCATGCTCTTCATCTGGAATGAGAACCAAACTCCCTGAGAATGAGGGGCACATAAGCCACTGCAGAGCACTGAGAGGGCTGAGGGATCACAAACTGGTGATACTTTAAAACTCCTAATGTCAAGGCCCATCGTATAGAGGCAGGAGAGAAGGGCCACTGTCTGTCTGTCTGTCTGTCTGCCCAGCACCTCTTCTACCAGACCCTGGCCATGGAATGAGCACATGACCTGAGCTGGGCAAATCAGAATCCTTCCCTGACTTTGGAAACTGGAGGTGGCAGATAGAGCTCCAGCATCCTCTCCGGTTGTGAGGGGCCAGGAAGGAAGCCCAGAGCTGTTGTGGTTATTTTTCCAGTGCCAGGAGATTAGCCCATCCACCGCAGATGGAGAAATCCTTAATTTTTCCTAAGCTTGACCTCCCCGCTACCGTGGATGCACAAATCCGTAAAATCCCCTTTTCTGCCTATAAGAGTTTGAGCTGGGTTTGTCTCACTTTCAACCAAAGAATCCCCATTAATTCAGAGGCCAGAGGGGCAGTGGGTGGTGGGGACAATGAAGTGAAACATGCGCCCATCACCAGGCCTTGCATGAGCCAGAGGAAGGCTCAGAGAGCCAGCCTGGGGCTTAGCCCAAGTCTCCTAGCGAGGTGACCTGCTTGCCTGGCCCTAGAGACCACCAGGCACTCTAGCTGTCCATCTGGTAACCAGCCATTCCACCTTCCTCCCTGCTCACCAAACGCTGACGTTGTCTGGGAGATCACCCAATACCCATCAAAAGACCTTTAAATTAGAAGCTCTGGGAAGGGAGCAGGGCAGGGATTTTTTAAAAGCTCTCCAGGCAATTCCAGTGTGTGCCTGGGGCTGAGAATCAGTACTCCGATCCAGTCTGGCAACGCCACACCCCTGGACAATTACAGGTCACAGAGTGGGCACATATGACCCAGTTCTGCCGACAAGACAGGCTGGGAAATCAGCCAGGGAGCTTCCGGGAAAGGTTCCCATGGCCTTTCAGTGAGACACACAATGAGGGGCAATTTGTTGCTCCTGTGTCTGAAGAGTAAAGGAGGAGGAGATGATGCCCATGGCTGCCAGAGCCAGGTGGCGTTCATGACACAGGCTTAGAGCCTGACAGCCTCAGATGGAATCCCAGCTCTGCCACTCGCCAGCTGTGTGACCTGGGTCAAGTTGCTTTACCTCTCTGTGCATCTGTTCCCTCATCCTTACAATGAATGAAAGTTCTGTTGTGTTGGCCATTCTGGGAATAGGTCTAAGAGAAACTAACTACTGAGATATTGAGTCATGACATGGCGTGTATCCAGAAACCCCAGTTCTAAAAGCCACTTCTTGATGGGTTTTCTGTTACAGCTGAAAGCACTCTGATTGAGTCACAAGGTTGCTCCCATGCCCCTGTGGATTTGGGAAACACCTGTCCCCTCAGAGTGGGATCTGACACTTGGAAGTGGCCTGGCCAGTCCTGCCCTTCCTGGCCCTGAACCCTGGAATTGGTCCTGTCTAAAGGCCTCCCGGTTCCTCCCTGGCCCCAGCACTCAGGAGCCACTCCCCTCCCTGCCCGCGCCTCACCTGCAGCACCAGCGCGTCCAGGGCTACCCTCCGGATCTCCGGGACCGCATAGGGGGCGAAGGCATCGTAGTCCGACTCGGCATAGAGGCGGAAGCAGACGCCGGGGCCTGTGCGGCCCGCTCGGCCCTTCCGCTGCTCGGCACTGGCCTGACTGATCCAGAACTCCTGCAGCCGCTGCAGTTTGGCCTGGGGGTCGTAGCTCATCTCCTTCACCTTCCCTGGATGGGGAGGAGGGGAGCAGGGAGGACAGGTACCTGTATGCAACAGCCACACCGGCCCTGCACACAGGTCCCCAGCCCTTCATTCACTGACACCCACTTACTCCTTTACTCCATTAACACTCAGCGACAGCTCATTCTGGGCCCAACCCTGACATTTTGTGAATGCACTCTTTCATTTCCTCATTCACACATCTTTTCATTTATTTTCTCTGGGCGTTGTTTAGTCACTGGTTCAGTCATGTGACAAGTATTATGAAGTATTATGCCAGGCACTGTATTCGGCACTAAGGATACAGCTGCAAACAAAACAAAGTCCCTGGTCTCACAGGGCTGAACTGACACCATATTTCATCCATTCTAAGACCAACCTGTTTTCATATTGTGTTGTCTCTGATGTGCCTTAAAATCAATGGCACGTCCATGTTTAACAGACAGCATTTGAAAATTTTCTTACTGGTACATAAAGTTGTGGAATGTTTTATCATCACTGGCATCCCAGATTCAATCCTATAAGGTGACTGCTAACATTTACTGAGTTTGTGGGGCTCACATATGAGTGGGGGAGGGGCGGACGGTTAAACAGACACACAAATATACAGGATCTCAGGGTCAAGGGCAAGGGCAAAGCACTGGCAGTTAGCAGGGCCTCAGGGAGGAAGCAGATGCTGCCTGGTATCTGTCTCCCCTCCCCCTGCACTGTTTGTTCATGATGGAGAATTTTAAACAGACACAAAAGGTGACAGAATCGCATGCAGAACCCTCCTGTTCCATCTGCTCCACAGCCCTAAACTCCACCTACTCCTCCCTGCTTCGGCCTGATGTCCCCTCGCTATATCCACACACCTCCAAACCCCACACTTCTCTCCAGGTCCTTGGGGTGGCTGTAGGAGCAGCCCTTACCAGAATCTACCACAAAGCGGATCCCATCAATGGTAACTGATGTCTCGGCAATGTTGGTGGAGAGAATGCATTTCCGGACGCCAGGGGGGGCCACGTCAAATACCTGGGGGAAAGTAAGGAGGTGACATCAGGGACTAACTCAGCCCTTATTGACCCCCGGGATGCCCCCATGGGCACCTCACACCCGTATGTCTAAAAGAGCCTCAGCGCCTTCCACTGAACCCTTTCCTCCTCCAGTTATCTCGGAGATGGCTCACCCTTCACCATATCACCTGGGCCAGAAACCGGGGCTGTCCTGGGTCTTCCCCTTCCCCTCCCCACTCCAGCCACACCTGAACATCTTGATCATTTCTTGATTTCATACCATCCTCACCTAACCCACCGCCCCTGCCCTGCTCCAGGCCCCTCCTTTCCCACCTGGACGCTGCCAACTTCCTCTGTGGTTTCTGGCCTCTAGACTCATCCCCTCTAGTCCCTCTTCCCACGTAGCAGAGGGATCTGCTAAAGCACAAATTGGCACTGGCCTCACCTTGCTCAGAACCTTCCTAGAGCTCCCCGATGTGCCCGGGACAAACCCAGGCACCACACTGGGTTCTCATGGGCCGTTGTGATCTAACCCTGCATGTCTCCAGTCCCATCTCTCCTGACTTCCCCTTCACAGTCTAGACCCCAGCCACATTGCATGTAGTTTCCCGGCTGCCCCATCTTTCTCTCACCCCAGGCCCTTTGCACAAGCCCTTCTCTCAGACCCAAGAGGCAGTCAAGCGTAGTGGCTAAGAGTGAGAGTCCAGCAACTCTAGCCTGGAGGCCAAATCCAGCCTGCCACCTGTTTTTGTGAATCAACTTTTAATGGCACACAACCTCACTGGGTCAGTCTACAGCTGCTTTCCCGCTGGAGAGTTTGAGTCATTGTGACAGAGACCAGATGGCCCATAAAACCTAAAACTATGTACTCCCTGGCCCTTTACAGAAAGTTTACAACCTTAACAAAGGTTAAGAGCATGGGCTCGAGTGCCAAACTACCAAGTCCCACAGACTGGCTCTGCTACTTACATTGACTTTGTACAAATGCCTACATCTCAGTTTTTGCATCTGTTTAGTGGGGATGACAACAGGGCCTGGCAGACAGGGCTGCAGTGAGGACTAAATGGGACACGCCATACACAGAGCTCAGAGCTGCTGCTGCTGCAAGTGCTCCATACACATCAGCTGGGACACTCCTCTCTCTCTGCCCGCTTCCTAGGCTGGGGCTGTCTCAGGTGTCCGCCTCCCGGAAGTTTTGAAAGTCCCCTCCTCCCGGAAGCCTTTCACGAATCCACCAAGACTGCTCTCAGAGTTCCAGAGCTTTCCTCTGCCGTTTGTAAAATGGCCAATTACTTGTCAGTCTCCACCAACAGACTAACAGCCACTTGAGGGAAAAGGCCATATCTTGGCTCCCACTGTGTCCCAAAGAGTCCCCTCAGCACAAGGGGAGGCACCAAGAAGGTGCTCAGAGGTTGTGTCTTCAATCAATAAACAACTGACTGTGACCCGCAGGGACTTTTCCCAAGGTGACTATGGTAGTCTGCCTCCAGGATGGCCCCAGGCAGTCTCATCTCCTGGGAGTCTCCCTTCCTGGGAGTCCCATCCTCATCCAGTACCTTCCCATTAAACAGGGCAGACCAGCTTAACTAACGGGAAGCTGCAGAAATAATGGTTTCTGATTTCCAAGGCTAGGTCATAAAAGATGGCCTTCTGCTTTGGTCTCTTGGGGAGAGCCAGCCATCATGTTGCGCCAACACTCAAGCAGCCCCCCAGAGAGGCCCACGTGGAGGGAAACTGAGGCCCCAGCCAACAGCCAGCCATGTGAATGTGCCATTTTAGAAGAGAACCCTCCAGCCCCAGTTAGGCCTTCAGATGAGCACAGCCCCAGCTGACATCTGACTATGACCTCCGGAGAGACCTTGAGCCAGAACCACGCAGCTGAACCACTCCCAAACTCCTGACCTACAGAAACTACGCAAGATAACAAATGCTTACTGTTCTAAGCTGCTAAGTTTTGGGGTAATTTGTTACACAGCAATAAATAACACAGTGACCCAAAGGCCTCTCTCCCGGCACCTTTCATTGCAGCCAGGTGGTTTCTTCACCTTTCCCAGCATCCAACTCCCAGATTCCCACCTCCAGGCCTTTGCTCAAACTGGTCCACCTTCCTGAAGCCTTCCTCCCACGTCTCCTACTCAAAATCCTGTTCATCCTTCAAAGCTTAGCTCCAATGCCTCCTACCCCATCAGGAAGCTCAGCCTGGCACATACTCCCCCACTCCCTGCAGCCCGCGTTTGTGGAGTCACATGCCCCCAACCCCACCTCCTCCCGTGGCGCTCATAGCTGGACCTCCACCTGCCCCACCCTGCCTAACTGCACGTGATACCTTGTCCTGGTCGGCCACAGAGAGGGCACTGTGCAGTGGCAACACCACCCAGCGCTGGGTGTGGCTGGCATAGGTCTGGGCGGCCTCGAGCACGGCGCTGATCTCCGCCATGCCGCTGAGGAAGACGAGAAGGTCGCCCCGCTCCTCGGGAGGGTATTTAGTGTCAATGGCCTCCAGCACCCTCAGGAAGGGCCGCGGGTCCAGCTTCTCCGACTTGGACGTTGTCGGCTCGGCCTCCAGTGGCTGGTACACAACCTGTGAGGAGACAGCCCCAGGCAGGAGTGCACCCTGTCACTCCAGCTCAGGGCAACGGGGCCGGGACACCACAGCCACAGGCTGACAGAGAAGACACGAATCAGTCGGAAAGAAGACAGCATGCTCAAACAGGATAATTAAAGGACAAAGTATTAAGGTAACTGGAAGGCTTCTGGGGTGCTGGAAGGTTTGATGTTTTTTAATCTGGGTGCTGGCTGCGTACAGGTAATTTGCAAAAATCAACTGCACTATACACATGATGTGTGCATTCTTTTGTGTTTGAAGTATAACTTCAAGAGCAACAAAATTTTAAGGTGGAGCCAGATTAAAACCCTGGAAAGCCCTACTCAGAAAGTGTTCTCCCTCTTTTTTTTATGGCTGCTTAGAAGATAGACTGACAGGCATTTAGAACCAGGAATCATAAGGGACAGTGCAATTTCTTGGTGCTAGGAACTTCGGAACCGTTTCCAATTCTTGGCCCAAAGGCACAAGAGGAAGGAGTGGTTGGTCATCAAAACCTTAAAGGCCAGAGTTGTGTGCAGAGAACCATGTTGAAAGGAGCTGTGACTCTGGTTGAGGGACACAGCCTACTGGAGACCTCGAGGAGAGCTGACTCTCCTTTTCCCACTGTGCAGTGGCAACACCTGGAAGCCAGAGGGAAGAGGGTCCACTAGCACCGTCCATATAGGTCCGCCTCTTGGGGCTGACAGGAAGGTAGGTAAAAGGAAATGCAGATCTGCGAGGGCAAACAGAAGCTTTCCTGCACAGGGTCTGTCTGTCTGTGAGCAGGGTTAAAGTCCCGGCTCTGCCACTTCTGAGAGATCCTGTGAACAAGTGACTTCACATCTCTGAGCCTCACTTTTACCCTCATGGCTTGTAATTCCTGGCACAGAACTACCGAGGTTGTGGTGAGAGACTCACATGAGTTCATGTATGTTCTTTGTGGAGCATACAGTATATACTTGATAAATGTTAGCTGTGATCATCATCATTAATATTATAGACAAAAACTACATGCAAGCCAGAGAAAGCAGGTCAAGGAACTGGGGGAAAGTTCAGGGTACAAATTGCTGGGAAAACTGTGGAATTGGGAAGCTAAAAAGGATCTCTGCCTAGTTTGGGTAGAGCAAATTGTAAGAGAACCTAAAAAACATGATTTCTGATGAATACCAAACTCCCTTTGTTTCACCTACAATGTCTGTCTCTTGATTTCAGATTCTTCAGCAATAGTTGTACCTTGGAGGGAGGGGTGTGTAATGGAATACGGTAGAGTCAGGCCCACCTCCAGGACTGCTGTGAGAATGGGATGAGATTGGATGTGCCTAGTGGTGTGGTCCCCAGAAAGTCTGCTGTTTTCTTCCCTGGCACACAGTCACCTAGAGAGAGATGTCACCAGCCTCCCTTGTAGCTAGGTCGGGCTCGGAGAGGAGAATGGAAGAAACTGGAAGGTCACGTCAAACTTAAAAACAAACTGGACTTTGTCTCCTTACCACTTCCTACATGTTCCGACCATACAGGCCAGGACATCTCCCTAAGACAGTGGTTCTTACCGGGTGTGGTGCTGCCCCCAGGGGACATTTGGCAATATCTGGCGATATATTTGGTTGTAACAACTGGGTGTAACCACCCAGCGCTGGGTGTGGCTGGCATAGGTCTGGGTGGCCTCGAGCACGGTGGCACTGATCTCCGCCATGCCGCTGAGGAAGACGAGAAGGTCGCCCCGCTCCTCGGGAGGGTATTTAGTGTCAGTGGCCTCCAGCACCCTCAGGAAGGGCCGCTATTGGCTGTTAGTGGGTAGAAGCCAGGGACACTGCTAAACATCCCACAGCACACAGGGCAGCCCCAAACTAATAATTATCCAGCCCAAAATGTCAACAATGCTGAGTTTGAGAAACCCTGCCCTATGAGATGGTACAGCAATGAGAAAGGGAGAGCCTAGGTCCCTGAATGACCATGTGGAACTGAGCTGCCCATCAGCCTGGACCAGCCGGACTGTTAAGAGAAATAAACTTCTATGTTATTTGAGCCTTTACATTTTTGGGTCTCCTCTAACGAGCACTTAGCACTCTTCCCAGCATACTACAAATGCTCAGAAAATGGCAGCTTTAAAAAAGACAGAAACAGAGAGAAAATATCCTTATTACATGAAGGGATGGGAAACAGAGCCACAGAGGAGACGGGACACGTCCAGGTTTGGCCCGGGGCCCGGTGGGAGTGCAGGGGACACGAAGGGCGTGGGAACTGACCGTGATGGGGAAGAGCCTCCCGGGCACCTGCACCACAGGGGCATTGCCGAAGTAGCTGGAGAAGAGCGAGATGTTGATGGTGGCCGACATGAGGATGACCTTGAGGTCAGACCGCTGGGGCAGCAGGCGCCGGAGGACACCCAGGAGGAAGTCGTTGTGGAGGTGCCGCTCGTGGACTTCATCCACGATCAGGACCTGGTACTGGGGCAGACTGGGCTCTCGCTGGATTTGCCTCAGGAGCAAGCCCACTGTCAGGAACACAATCTTGGTGGCCGCCGAACGCGTGCTCTCAAAGCGGATCTGGTAGCCAACCTGGGTGGGTGGGGGAAGGTGGTCAGGAGAGGACCTGGGCCTAGACACCAGCCCCTTGTGCAGCCCAAACTGAAATCTGAGCAAAGGCCCCCACATCAGACTCTGGAAGCCAAAGGGCTTGAGTTCAAATCCCACTTCTGCCACTCAGTGTCCTTGACTTTGGACAAGCAGTTCTACCCCTCAGAGACATTTTTTTTCTCCCAGATGCTATGAGAATTATATGTGCTAATGCACATAAAGTATTTGGCACAGAGCCTGGTATATGATACTAATTAATAATAATGCTAATAATTAGCCTTTCTTGGAGTCCTTACTATGAGCCACCAACTATTCTAAATGCTGTATGTATATCAACTCATTTCATTCACACAACCACCACAGGCTGTAAAAATTATTTTTATCCTCACCTCACAGATGAGGAAACTGAGGTCATCATCCAGGGCAACACAGCTAAAAAGTGGTACCTTACATCTCTCTGTCTCTCTGTCTCTCTCTCTCTCTCTCTC